TAAAGGAATACCTGAGGCTGGGTAATCTATAAAGAAAAGAAGTTTATTTGGCACATGGTTCTTCATGCTCTGTAAGAAGCATGATGCTGGCATCTGATTCCACTCATGGTGGAAAGAGAACAGGAGCTCATGTGTGCAGAGATCACATGACAAGAAAAGAGGCGAGTGAGAAAAGGAAGGGAGGTGCCATGCCGATTTTAAAAACTAGTTCTGGCAGAAACCAAGCAAGTACTCACTGAGAACCTTGAAGACAGTACCAGGTCATCCATGAGGGATCCACTCTCATGACCCAGACACCTCCCATTAAGCGCCACTTCCAACACTGGGGATCAGTTCTCAACATGAGGTTTGGAGGGGTTAAACAAACCCATGTGTAGCAGGCTCACGAATAGATTAATCTATTCAGGGGTTAATGGATTAATGAGTTATCATGTGAGTGGAACCAGTGGCTTTATTAGAAGAAGAAGAGAGCTGGAGCTCACACATTAGCATGCTCAGCTCAGCTCCCCCATGTGATACTCTGTGCTGTTTGGGGTCAAAGGCAGCCCCTCAACCTTCGACTTTTTAGTCTCCAGAACTGTGAGAAATAAATTCCTTTTCTTTATAAACTATCTAGATTCAGGTATTTTTTTACAAACAAACAAACAAAAAAAAACCAGACTAATACACATGGGGATCTCTAGTTGTCTCAGCACCATTTGTTGAAAAGCTATTCTTTCTTGCATTGATTGACCTGGGTACCTTTATCAGAACTCAGTTGACCATGTATGTGTAGATTTACTTTTCCATTCTCAATTCAGTTCCGTTGGTCTGCATACCTGTTGTTATATTATCTTTATTGCTGTAGCTTTGTAGTGAACTTTGAAATTGTGAAGTGTGAGCCCTTCAGCTCTGTTCTTTCTTTTCCAGGATTGCTTTGACTATTCTGTGACTCTTGCAATTCCATATTAGTTTAGGATTGGCTTGTCTGTTTCTGGAAAAAAAAACAGTTGGGATTTTGATGGAGATTACATTGAACGTATACGTCAATTCGGGGTGTACTGCCATCTCAAATCAGCTTTTCAAGACAGATTTGTATAACCCAATTTGAAATTGAGCCATAATATATTATTTTTGGGGATATGTATTGTTTCGTTCTTTTTTTTGAGATGGAGTTTTGCTCTTTTGCCCAGGCTAGGGTGCAATGGTGAAATCTCAGCTTACCGCAACCTCTACCTCCTAGGTTCGAGTGATTCTCCTGCCTCAGCCTCTTGAGTAGCTGGGGTTATAGGCATGCACCACCACACCTGGCTAATTTTGTATTTTTTTTTGTAGAGATGGGATTTCTCCATGTTGGTCAGGCTGATCTTGAGCTCCTGATCCCAGGGGATCCGCCTGCTTTGGCCTCCCAAAGTGCTGGGTGGGATTACAGGCGTGAGCCACTGTGCCTGGCCTGTTTCATTCTTATCTTAGCTTTTCTATTAGGAATGGGAGATGGTTGATCCTAACCACCATGAAGCCAGACCTGGGGTGATGCATGGTGGAATTCTGCATTCTTGTCCCTCACATCTGTCCTCCAGCAGTCTGTCTCCCAATCTGCAGGATGCTTAGAGGGTATGGTAACGCTAGAACCTGAAAACTGCAAATGATTGGCTATCTGTAATTTGGTTGTTAAAAAAGAAAGGCTGGGCGCGATGGCTTGTGCCTGTAATCCCAGGGCTTCAGGAGGCTGAGATGGGCGGATCCTGAGGTCTGGAGATTGAGACCATCCTGGCTAACATGGCGAAACCCCATCTCTACTAAAAATACAAAAAATTAGCTGAGTGTGAGGACGCACGGCTGTAGTCCCAGCTACCTGGGAAGCTGAGGCAGAGGAATCGCTTGAACCAGGGAGGCAGAGGTTGCAGTGAGTCAAGGTCCTGCCACTGTACTCCAGCCTGGGCAACAGAGTGAGACTCCATCTCAAAAAAAAAAAAAAAAAAATCTAGTTTCTTTTCTTGTTTTTTTTTGGTAGAGACATTTGTTTCACCATGTTCCTCAGTCTGGTCTCGAACTCCTGAGCTCAGGCGATCTGCCCACTTCAGCTTCCCAAAGTGCTGCACTGGGCCAAACATCTGGTTTCTTTTTCATTTTTGAGACACAGTCTCACTTTGTTGCCCAGGCTAGAGTATAGTGGTGCGATCTCTGCTCACTGCAGCCTCCACCTTCTAGGTTCAAGCAATTCTCATGCCTCAGCCTCCTGAGTTGCTGGGATTACAGG